AAAAACTACAATATAACAAACTAGTAGGTGAAGGCTAAAGTCTAGCAAAACAGTAGCTGAAAGCTAAACTTTAGCAAATAGTAGCTAAAAGCTAATATTTAGCAACACGGAATCCTAAAAACTAAACATCAGCAAAACAGTGCTAAACACTACAATTTAACAAAACAGCAGGGGAAGAATAAAGTTTAGCAAAACAGTAGCTGAAAGCTAAACTTTAGCAAATAGTAGCTAAAAGCTAATATTAAGCAACAAGGAATCCTAAAAAACTAAACATCAGCAAAACAGTGCTAAACACTACAATTTAACAAACCAGCAGGGGAAGAATAAAGTTTACCAAAACAGTAGCTGAAAGCTAAAAATTAGCAAGCCTGTAGCTAAAAGCTCAAAATTATCAAAACAGTAGCTAAAAGCTAATATTTAACAGGAAACTAAAATGTAAAACTCAACAAAACAGTGTTAAAAACTACAATATAACAAACTAGTAGGTGAAGGCTAAAGTCTAGCAAAACAGTAGCTGAAAGCTAAAAATTAGCAACCCTGTAGCTAAAACCTCAAAATTATCAAAACAGTAGCTAAAAGCTAATATTTCACAGGAAACTAAAACGTAAAATTCAACAAAACAGTGTTAAAAACTACAATATAACAAACTAGTAGGTGAAGGCTAAAGTCTAGCAAAACAGTAGCTGAAAGCTACAAATTTATCAACCCAGTAGCTAAAGCTCAAATTAAGCCATGCAGTAGCTAAAAAACTGTAATTTTGCAGCCCAGTGGGTAAAACTTCTAATTTACCCACCAGTACATAAAACCTAAAATTGACCAAAACAGTAGCTGAAAGCTAAAAATTTATCAACCCAGTAGCTAAAGCTCAAATTAAGCCATGCAGTAGCTAAAAAACTGTAATTTTGCAGCCCAGTGGGTAAAACTTCTAATTTACCCACCAGTACATAAAACCTAAAATTAACCAAAACAGTAGCTGAAAGGTAATATTTAGCAACCCAGTATTTAAAAAGTCAAATTAAGCCAAACAGCAGCTAAAAACTATAATTTAGCTGCCCAGTGGGTAAAAACTCAAATTTAGCTAAATTCATCAAAACAGTAGCTGAAAGCTAAACCTTAGCAAACAGTAGCCAAAAGCTAATTTTAGCAAAACAGAAAGGTAAATTCAGCTAAACTGCAGGGAAAACATAATTTAATAAAGTTTAGTAAAAAGCTAAAATTTAGCAACCCAGTAGCTAAAAGCTAAGATTGATCAAAAACAATAGCAAAAATTAGCAAATAATTTCTAACAGCTAAATTTCACAGTAAAGTTAGAATTTGTAAAATGGTAGCTAAAACAAAGTTAATGAAACAATAGCCTAAAGCTAAAACCTGCAGAACAGGAGCTAAAAGGCCAAATGAAGCTAAAGTTCAATATTTCAAAAAGCTTCAAAGTTCCAAACATCACAGCTGTGACGTCCTGAAGCAGCCGAAGGTTCTGATCCGTTAACAGAACTCACCTGGTTCTGCTGGAAGACCGTYGGCACGGCGTCGGCCTCCAGGTACCGGACCCCCCAGCGGACCCTGAAGCACGAAGGAGAGAAATGTTCGTTGCAGATGTACTGGTGCCGAGACGGGGTCCAGTTCTCCCGACCCATGTTCCTGAGCCACCTCTGAAGCCGGACCGGGTCCTGGAGCGGGAACCTGGAACCGTACAGACGAGAACCGGTGAGGAACCAGAACCCTGCAGCTGGACCTGAACCCACTGCTCAGTTTCTGAGGCAGAAATCTGAGCTTCGGTTCTGATCCGGTAACAAACTGACGCCATGACTCAGCATATTTTAGCTTCTGGTTTTATTTTAAGTCATTTTCAGCTTCAGTCTGTGGTTCAGTCATCAGCTCCAACTAACTGAACGATCTCAGCCAAAACTAAACGGAACTAAATACTAGTTTAGAGCATTAAAAACAGCTAAAAGCTAACATGGCATTATGCTGTGATTATGCTGAAGGTGGCAAAAGGTCAACTAGAAGCTAAAAGTAACAAATGGCTAAAAGGTAATTGAAAACTTATGGTAACTAAAGGCTAAGATTTAGAGAACAGTAGCTAAAAGTAACATTTCTCCAAAAACTAAATGGTTAGCTAAATGCTAATGTAYGTTAATGCTGCTAAATGGCTAACTTAAAGCATCAGAAAAGTAATTGAAAGCTTAAAGTAGCTAAAGACTAAGTAAAAGCTAAATTTTGAAAAATAACTAAATGTAGCATTGTACTAAAATCAAACAGTTAGCTAAAAGCTAAAGCAGTATAATGCTAACATAAAGCTAAAATAGCAAAAGTCCTCCAAGAGCTAAAAGTAAGAAGGGAAGCTGGAAGCTTAAGTAGCTGAAAGCTAATTAAGCTACAATTTACAGAACAGTGGCTAAAAGTAGCATTAGACTAAAGGCAAATTGTTAGCTAAAAGCTAAGGTAGTATAACACTATAGGAATGSTATAAGTAGCAAAAGCCTAGCTAAAAGTCTTATTAAAAGGCTAAGTGGAAGCTAAAAGTAGCAGATGGTTAATTTAAAGTAGCAGAAGGGAAGCTGGAAGCTTAAGTAGCTGAAGGCTAATCAAGCTACAATTTACAGAACAGTGGCTAAAAGTAGCATTAGACTAAATGCAAATGTTAGCTAAAAGCTAAAAGAATACAACGATACGGCAATGTTTTAAGTTGCAAAAGTCTAGCTAAAAGTCTTAAAAGGCCAAAAAGAAGCTAAAAGTAGCAGAATGGTAGCTAAAAGCTAAAGTATTACAACATTACGGTAATGCTATAAGTAGCAAAAGTCTAGCTAAAAGTCTTAAAAGGCCAAAAAGAAGCTAAAAGTAGCAGAATGGTAGCTAAAAGCTAAAGTATTACAACATTACGGTAATGCTATAAGTAGCAAAAGTCTAGCTAAAAGTCTTAAAAGGCCAAATAGAAGCTAAAAGTAGCAGAATGGTAGCTAAAAGCTGCTTAAGACAACTATTAGAGCCAGACTCAGATTTGAAAAAGAACAAAATTTCAAAATAAAGTTAAACATGTAAAAAGTACAGAAACTATAAAAAACAAAGACTGAAGAACTCATCTTTTCTTTGAGTTTAGTTTTTATGTATAAACAGCTAAAACAGATAAAAGATTGCAGAAACAATTAAACAAATGTTTAAAATAGAAATAAAAAATTAACATTAAAAGCGTGAATGCTGACACCGCAGTGAAGTTAGTTTCAAGTTGGATTTTCGATATTCGAGCTCCGTGAATCAAGGGTTGTCTTCCTCTTGTC